GTAGTGATACTGCCTCGGAAACCCAAGGAGGGGTCGCTATGAGTCGGGGCCGACTCGACAGCAAATAACAACAACAACAACAAATGGTTCCTCAAAGGGCTTAGGGTCATCTGTGAAAAAATTCTGAACCTTTCAGAGAAATGCTAAGAATAAAAGCTATTGTCATTGATCCAAATAGAAGTATCATACACACACACACACACACACATACATATATACATTTACACATTATGAAAATACACACATGTAATGATCTTGACTGATAAATACCTGGATAGTAAAAGTTGTCTCATAATTAACTTTCTTTCATTTGGAGAATGTTAATTATCCTAGAAGAATATGATCCCTCTTCTAACAGTGCTAATACCAAAATACTGTGGTTTAAAAAAAAAATTCATTAAGTAGTCAAATTGTAACAGTACTGCATTCCTTTATCTCCATAGTTTTCTGGTTAGGGAAGGAAGTTCAATTCCTATATGTAATTCTCTGGGGAGGCAGTAGAGAGGATTACCACAAACAAATACAATGTGCCAACTGCGAACCTGGGTTCAAACTATCCTCTCGATCCTAACATGAGACTGGAGCTCTGCGTTTAGCTGTCATAATCATAAACACAGGTACCTGCTAATGAATCAGGACTAAGGTATAAGACATAAGTTTTAAACTGTATGTTCAAGTTCTTCAGCTATGAAAAACATCAAATGAGATCAATGAACACATAAAATAACTCCTTTCTTATTTTCATTATGACCAATGGCTTACAGCTACATGTCAGTATCTGTCAAATCATTCATTCATTTTCTGAGTGTCTATTATAATAAACAAGGAGCTATGCCGTAGGACCATGAAGGACAGAGCATGAGTAAGTCATAGTGTCTGCTTTTAAGGATCTTACAGGCTGATAAAGGAGATAAAACTTCAAAATAACTACAAACAAGGCAAAAAGTAGTATTATGAAAAGTATTAATAAGATAGAACCTTGGTAACATTGAGAGGAAGGAGAGATTAATTTCTGTCAGGGGTAACAAAACCCCAAACCTATTGCCATCGAGTAGATTCCAACTCATGATGACCCCCCATCAGTTATAGAACAGAACTGCTCCCTAGGGTTCTCCTGCCTCTATTTTCATGGATTCTGACTCACAGTGACCCTATAGGACAGAGTAGAACTGTCCCACAGGGTTTCCAAGGCTATAAATTTATACGGAAGCAGACTGCCTCATTTTCCTCCCATGGAGTGGCTTGTGGGTTCAAACTGCTGACTTTTTGGCTAGCAGCTGAATGTTTTAACCACTGTCACTGGAATTGACTTGATGGCTGTGGCTTTGGTTTTGGGTTAATTTTCATGGAAACAAACTGCCAGGCCTTTCTTCGGACCCACTCAGTGAGACTGAACTTCTAACCTTTAGGTTAGCACCTGATTGCAAACCGTTTGTGCCACCCAGGCTTACAAAAGGTACCAGACGGGGACATCTGAGTCAGGCATTGAAAGATAAGAAACATGTTAGTACTTCTCATGTTTGTAAAACGTTAGTTTCGAATTGGTTTACTTATAATTCTTTTAACATTCCACAAATTAAGTCCTAGTTCCTGTATGACATAATCCATTTCAAAATGTTTATGTCCAGGAAATGGAGTGCAGTCTTTTTCTCTTTAAGAAATACTAAAAATAAATACCACTTCCGTATGAAAAATTGTGATTACAAGTGTTTATATGTTGTCACATGCATGAAAATCAATGCAATCCTACACTAAATAGATTTTTCCTTCAAGTAGAAAAATATAAAATGAAGATTTACTAAAACAGTGGTAAAATTAAAAAATGCAGTACCCTATAGGAAACATCTTCTATGCGAATGCCTTTAACACTCTTTTCAAATAAAGGCACTCTTTCTAGTGTCTTTCCCAGCCGCTAAAATTTCTTTATGTCACCATAGGAATACAGAGCATGCAATACAAACTAGATAGTGAAAAATCATGTATTTTTGACAGCCTCTCCCCTTTTCTCTGTCTGTGAAATAATGTCTCTACATTTTCCTGTCTGAACATATCAACTTTCAGCAAGAATGGAATGTTAATTGATGCTACGCACAAGCTGGGCTATCATTCCTCAAATTTAATAAGCAAAAAAAAAAAAAAAATCAGTAAAAAAAAAAACAACTAGGTTTCCTGTTTTTATTTATGGCTGTTAGTGCCCATTTTGGGGGGGGGGGATCAAAATAAAATGTCTCACCACTCACCCTTCCCTTAATTAGCGTACCCTAGGAGACCAGTTCCTTCCATCCGCTCCCCTGATGACTCTCAGGATCACAGGCCTATTCAAGCTTCTCCCCAGGGCCCCAGAAACAACATGCGCAACAACTTCCTAGGGAAGCCCACAGCTTACCTCACCCTTCCACTGGGGAAACACACAGACTCAACCCGCTCTGGTATGATTATTAAAGAATACAAGGGCTCACTTGACCCAGCCCAAAGCTAAGGCCTGTCCTTTTATCATCATTCTGTGCCTTGACTTCTTAAAAGAAATGCTGTGTGCTCAGCAAAGAGGAAACAGGAAGGATTTATCTTTAAACAATAATAGTATACTCTAAGGAATGCTTCATAAAAATACCGGAGCCCTAGGTAAAGTATCTAATGTTGGGAAATTAAGTGGTTTTACATGTCCAGGCTGTAGCATCCATATTCCTGTCGTGGGAGGTAGGAAACTGCTGTACATTGGATCGTTTTCTAAGACATGTTTTCTCTCTCAGAGAATTTCCACCTCTTCTTCCTGAATTTCTACTTCTGGTGCCCTCAGGGTTTCTCTGATGAAGCATTACTGGAATTTGGGGTAAACAATTCTTTGTTGTGCAGAATGTTAGCTTCCTTGAAGCACATTCACTTAAATGCCAGAATCAGCCATCCCCCCACCTCCCTGCAAGTCCTTGTGACAACTAAAGATGTCTCCTCATAACAATCCCACCCAGTGAGGGGGATAGCGCTGACCCTGCTTGAGAACCACTTCAAGGGTAAAGATGAATTGCCCAGGAATAATGGTACACTGACCCAAGAGGATTTTTCCCCCCCTTAAGGCTTAATGGAATACCTTTGAGAACATTCAGCTTCACTGAATCAAAGGGATTCTCCATTCCAACTTCCTGACCAAAATAAGTAGCACAGCTACGGGGCATTCCTTGGCTTTTTGTATCTGTGAATGAATTCATGTATGAAAAAAATAGGTCTCTCACAGGCAAAGGTTATTTGTACCTATACCTGTTGCTGTTGAGTTGATTCTGACTCATAGCGACCCTCCAGGACAGAGTAGAACAGCCCCATGGGGTTTCCAAAAGTGAAATCTTTATGTTGTTGTTGTTATGTGCCGTCGAGTCGGCCCCGACTCATAGCGACCCCTCCTTGGGTTTCCGAGGCAGTATCACTACGGAAGTAGGATTGCCCAACCTTCCTTCCGAGGAGTGGCTGGTGGGTTTGAACCGCCAGCCGTCTGGTTAGCAGGCAAGTGTCTTAGCCACTATGCTACCAGAGCTCCCTGAAATCTTTATGGGAGCAGATTATTACATATTTCTCCCATGGAGTGGCTAGCGTATTTGAACTGCTGTCCTTTCTACTAGCAACCACTACTTCTATTATTAACCTCTACACCACCAGGGGTCCTCTATTACTGCCTATGTGGTACTAAAAGGCAGAAAATTCACCTCAGAAACAATTAGTTTAAAGGAGAAATAGAAACTAACCAAAGTAAATAGCTATTACAGTTTTGCATCTGAGTGAGACAAAGAACAGTGTATCGTAACTGTCATTCTTTGCCAAAACAGGACCCTAGGGTTCATTCTTTCTATCCTGTTTTGTGTGAAGTTTTCACATAGCATGGAGGTGCTACATGTTCAAGGGTCATCCAAGTTCACTGTAAATTTAATTTCATCTTCACCACCAGTACTGTACCTTTAGGGAGTGTGCTCACAATCCTGCATTGGTACTCTAGATGTTGCTTTAATTAGAGAGCTGCAGACACAGGTCAGGCTACACTTGTATAGCTCTCCGTTCCTGGATGCTAAGGTGTGTCCCACAGGTATTAGATATGTAGTTCTGAAAATGGTGGTTATAGCAAAAAGCATTTGGAAATTTGTAACTGACTCCTTTCTAGCGGCTAAGATTCAACAGGCTGTTTCTTCACTAGGTCATGTCTATAACAAGCCCAGCCTGAGTATGTCTGCAATTCTAAGCAGAATGCTTTTCCCCTACCCACTGCTATGAAAAGAGTACAGACATTCTGTCTACCAACTGACCACTGGTAGTAAGCATGTTAGAGACATGAAAGGAGGCATTTTGCATTTAAAAGGGGGAAAAATAAGTTTAATAAAAGAACAGCACCCTCTCACTCACCACTGAGGTAAGCGCCATCTGAAAACTGTAGATCCGGGCAAGGCCGAAGTCAGCTAGTTTTATTTGTCCACTGCTAGTCACCAGAATGTTCTGTGGTTTCAAATCGCGATGCACTACTCGGTGAGAATGAAGAAAATCCAGACCTCGGAGAAGCTGAAACATCATATCCTAAAGAAAGCGAAAAAATCAAATCAAATCAATAAAAGATCAAAACAGAAACTCGATATTCAGCATATTTATGGGGAACTCTCAGCACTAAGAAGGTGATTAGTACACAGTGGGCATTTGATAAATATTTCCTAAGCGTACTCATCTTCCTTCTTACTTCTGCATGCTCCTATTCTCAAGGACATTACGGAAAAATTTCACTCTCAACTTGTATTTTATTAACAGAAGGACAACTTTAAAATGTTCAGCTCATATGCCTGTCTTTTGTTTGGCTGGAAGTCATAGAAGTGGGTTCAATTCCAGACCTGAAGGGCAGCTAGGGACCAGAGTCTCAGTAGTTCCATCAGGCTCTTTCAGACCAGCAAACTTGGTCCTTTTTTTTTTAAAATAATTTTGAGTTTTGCTCCACATTGTTCTTCCACTCTATCCAGGATCCTCTACATAGATCCCTCTCTGAGTGGTTGACAGTGGTAGCTGGGCACCATCTAGTTCTTCTGGTCTCATAGTTGTATAGGCTGAGGACCGCATGGTGTACCAGTCGCTTGGACTAATTGTTTCCATGGTTTTCTTCATCTTCTCTGCTCTGGATGAAGAAAGACCCATCATTGTATCTAGCTAGCTGTTTGCAAGCTTTTAAGATCCCAGTTGTTACTTGCCAAAGTAGGATGTGGAACAATGTTTTTGTGTAGTATGTTATGCCAACTGAGCTTGATGTCCCCTGCAACTATGGTCCCACGCCCACAGGCCCAAATACTCACTCCCTCTGGGTAGCTGGCTGTGACCAAGAAGTGACTACAACCTTGTCTCTTATCAGCTCTATTATATACCTGGGAATTCTTACAGAACATATAAATACACTGTGGCTTCATACACTTCTGTATTTGTTTGCTATGCTATCTCAAAAGCTAAAATCCAGTGAGTAATAATAATACTGTTGTTGTTGTTGTAATGTGCCGTCAAGTTGGACCCAACTCATAGCGACCCCTCCTTGGGTTTCCGAGGCAGTATCGCTACAGAAGTAGATTGCTCCATCTTCCTTCAGAGGAGTGGCTGGTGGGTTTGAACCGCCAGCCTTCTGGTTAGCAGGCAAGTGCCTTAGGCACTACGCTACCAGAGCTCCTCGATAATAATATTACTAATGGTAATTATTATTTTTATAGCACCCAAATACTAAGCAGTCACTATGTGTCAGGCACTACTCCAAGGACATTGCATTTACTAAGTCATTTAATCCATACCACAAACTTAATGGAAGTAATATCATCACCTTCACTTCACAAGGTCAAGAAACTGATACACAGGAGTAGGTTAGGTAATTAGCCCAAAGTCACACTGTTAGTAAAAGACAGAGCCTTGATTTAAACCAGGTCTGGAAAACTGGATTCAAATCCTCAGTCCACTTCCTTAGTATTCTCACTGAATAAATAAGTATGTAAAACCACACAAGCCATTTAATTCCACTAAGCCTCAATTTTCCCATTTCTAAAGTGAGAAATTATCAAACAATATCACTAATATTACAAACAATATCATTAATATTACACACAAGTAAAATTTTGCTGAAGATAAGTCAAAGAATGGTTGCAGCAGTACAGTGACAAAGAACTGCCTGAAATTCAAGCCAGATTCAGAAGAGGATTTGGAACAAGGGATATCATTGCTGACGTCATGGATCTTGGCTGAAAGCAAGGAATACCACAATGTTTACCTGTGTTTTAATGACTATGTAAAGGCATTTGATTTTGTGGGTCATAATATATTACAGATGGCATTGTGAAGAATGGGAATACCAGAACACTTAACTGTGCTCACGAGGAACCTGCACATAGTCCAAGAGTCAGTTTTTCAAACAGAACAAGGGGATACTGCATGGTTTAAAATCAAGAGAGCTGTGCTTCAGGGTTATATCCTTTCACCAGGCTTATTCAATCTGTCTGCTGAGCAAATATCCAAGTTGGTTCCAACTCATAGCAACGCTTATGTTGTTGTTGTTATGTGCCGTCGAGTCGGACCTGACTCATAGCGTCCCCTCCTTGGGTTTCTGAGGCAGTGTTGCTATAGAAGTAGATTGCCCCATCTTCCTTCCGAGGAGTGGCTTGTTATATACAGCAGAACACAACACTGCTCAGTCCTGCGCCCTCCTCACAATCATTGCTAGGTTTGAGCCCATTGTTGCAGCCACTGTGTCAATCTGTATCATTGAGAGGCTCTCTATTTTTGCTGACCCTCTATCATACCAAGCATGATGTCCTTCTTCAGTGACTGGTCTCTCCTGATAATATGTCCAAAGTACAAGAGACAAAGTCTCACAATCTTCCCTCCTGAGGATCATTCTGGCAGCACTTCTTCCAGAACAGATTTGTTTGTTCTTACAGTTCATGTAATTTTGAATATTTGCCAACACCACAACTCAAAGGCAGCAATTCTTCTTCTGTCTTTCTCATTCATTGTCCAGATTTGACATGCATATGAAGCAACTGAAAAATCATGGCTTGGATCACGTGCACCTTTTCCTCAAAGTGACATTTTTGCTTAACACTTTAAAAAGATCTCATACAACAGATTTGCCCATTGCAAATGCTGCTTGATTTTCTGACAGCTGCTTCCATGGGTGTTGGTCATGGATCCCAAAAATTAGATCCTTGACAATTTCAGTCTTTTCTCCATTTATCCTGATGTTGCTTATTGGTCCAGTTATGAGGATTTTTATTTTCTTTATGTTGAAGTGTAATCCAAATTGTAGTCTTTGATCTTCATCAGAAAGTGCTTCAAGTCTTCACTTTCAGCAAGCAAGCCTGTGTCACCTGCATATTGCAGGTTGCTAATGACTTTTCCTCTGATTCTGATGCTGCGTTCTTCTTCATACTATCTGGTTTCTCTGATTATTTGCTCAGCATACAGATTGAGTAAGTATGGTGGAAGGATACAGAGAATGATGTATCCAAGGGAGCTATTTTGCTGATACAAGAGCTAGGGAAATTATTTGGCAGCATCATATACTTCAGAGCTGGAAGGGGCCACGAAGACGCACACTTGTTCAATGGCTAGACCACTAAACCCTCTCACTGAGGTCAGCATGTTCTGTTACTGGTTTACGGTTCCAGTTCTTCCTTGAGTTGGGAATTCTCTTTCACATCTTCGCTTGTTTAAAATCAAAGCCTTAGTCTTCTCATCCATAAAATGGAGAAAATAATTTTTGCTTTTATAATGTCACGAGATTTAAATGAAGTAACGTATGCAGAGTGGTAACGCAGTTTCTGGCACATGGTAAGCAGTCAGCAAATGATAACCATTAGGATGATCATTGCCAAGACAAGTGCTGTGTTTTCCAGGAGGAAACAGATTCATAAACAACTCGAAGTTGTCAGTATGAACAAAGAAAGGCTATGAGGGGGCACAGATGACCTATGGTGTACCGGAATAGTTTTTCTGATCCACCTAATGGATATTCTGAACTGACAGGGATTACCTTCTAAGCTTTCCCAGGTGAAAACCTGAAGGAGGCTACACTGGCAGGGACTGGGCTTCAAGGCCTGAGAATCACTACCGGTTAATCAACTTGCAATTAGTAAACAACAGGAATGTGAAAATGGATCAAGAAACAGGAAAGTAGTCTTCTGCTGTGGTGAGTAAGTCTTAATATATTGGAAACACATGCATACAACTTGTGTTAAAAAGCATGACTAACTTAGAGTAACGTCATGCTAGTTTATCATCTTTAGCTTCCTATACACTAACCATCAGCCATCTCCTCAGGTCATGCTTCAGTGTTCAAATAATTTAAGCAGTCAATTAGTAGAATAAAAACTCAGAAATATTTGGGCTAATTGAATAACGCCATCTCAATTTATAAAAAGGCTGTACTACATAGTAAAAAACAAAACAAAACACCATCATTATTTTATTTTTGTGTTTATTTAAATAGTCCCGATTACATTTTCCTTAATTATAAAATTGACACGTACTTAAAGCAGAAACTTATAAACTTAAATAAATAAATAATAACCAGAAGAACAAAAATCACTCAAAATCCCACCCCACACAGACTAGAGAAAAAACTTCCACTGTTAAATAACAATTTTTGTGCATCCTGCTAGCCTGTCTTTTAGACATTACATAACTTATTATATGTGTAGGAATAAACATGTTGTTGTTGTTGTTATGTGCCGTCGAGTCAGCCCTGACTCATAGCGACCCCTCCTTGGGTTTCCGAGGCAGTATCACTACGGAAGTAGGATTGCCCAACCTTCCTTCCGAGGAGTGGCTGGTGGGTTTGAACCGCCAGCCTTCTGGTGAGCAGTCAAGTGTCTTAGCCACTATGCTACCAGAGCATATATTCAACTAAAAATGGTTATTATCCTGCAAACATCCTTTTGTAGCCCTTTTAAAAACATTTAACAATTCATTGTTAATATTTCCGACATCAACAAAATTCCTCTAAAACTTAATTATTTTTTTACAATATGCTTTTTAATGGCTATGTGGTTTTTCTCTCAGAGACATAATCATTATTAGATTTTTGTTGTGATATTTTGTAATTTATACTACAAGTCTAACTCTCCTTTATTTAAAGTAGATTAAAATGACTTGTTAACATACAAAACACGGTTTAAGCAGCAAGAATCCACATGACTGCACTCAATAGATTTCACATAAACAGGACCCATGTTGTGGGTAGGTGCAAGTCGGTTTCCAACTCATAGAGAGAGACCGCATGTACAACAGAATTAAAACACTGCCTGGTCCTGCGTCATCCTCACAATCGTTGCTATATCTGAGCCCACTGTTGCAGCCACTGTGTTAATCCATATCCATAAATGTATGAAAAGTTGGTGCCACATAAGAATTACAATTCTTCAGATATTAGGCTACTTTAAAATTTTCTTGCTTAAGCAAATAAGGTTTCCTTTTAAAGCTACAATTCTAGATGCAATCAGAACTATGAATTAGTGCACTTTGAATTAATGACTGCAAAAACCATTGTCACAGATCTCATTAAT